CTAATTCCTTTCTTACCCTGCCTCAAGTTAATGGACCCATGTGAAAATTTGGGTTTTTGTTTTGAGACAGGATCTCTCTGGATTGATCAGGCTGGCCTTAAACTCGGGCTTATGTGTCCTCTTGCCTCCATCTCCCTCCTGCAGAGACTACAGGCACACGTTTTGGTTTTGGTTTTTTGACCCCAATAACACTGCCTTTCAGATTCACCAGTGGTTTTTTCCTCCACATGGTCTTTAATAGATCCTACTAGCTCACCTTACTTCCTCCTCAATTTCAAAAAAACAAAACGTTTGTATCCTGTCCTTCAGAATCTTGGCCCCTCAGGAGGCTCAGCAGTAGCTTGCAAGAATGTTTGGGAAAGTGCCTCTTGCCTAGAATGTTTGGGAAAGGCTTATGAACTTTGTTCTGGATCGATCCAAAACAGGACATTCTTTTTAACTTACAGCACCATTAGTAGTTTGGTGTGCGTGCGTGGATAGATGGCCCAGATCCAACACCACTGCAACCTAGTTCACCAGATAGATTTACTTTCCACAAAAGAGATAAAAATGTGCAATTTAAAGACTGGCATTTGTTTATAAAAATTCACTTGAGAAGATAATATTGAAAAGATTCTGAAGGAGTTTAGAAACAAATTCTTCTAAAAAAAATTAGTTGAGTACTAAGCAGTATTAAAAAACAAACAATAGAATTAAGATGACTACTCTGAATAGGCCAATCCTGTTTCGCTGAATGTTTATGACAGTGTCAGTCTCCTTAATTTATATCTTACTACCTTGTATGCCAGCACATCTGCTTGTCCTGTTGGCATCCTACAGCAGTGTTGTTTTCCAATGTGTTTTGTTCTTTTTAGGTTCCTTGAGGGGATGGAGAGAATTTATCAGAGCTTTCCAGAGCATGTTCATATGAAGAGAATTAGCATGCAGAGGTAGAATGTTTTGTGGCAGGCAGCTCATATGGAAAGGACTCCAGTACTGCTGCTTCCATGAATCCTCTCCCAACACAGTTTTTCATGACCAGTTTTACGCTTCTAAAAAAAATCTGTTAAAAAAGCCACCAAGTTTGGTGGGGCATACCTGTAATCCCAGCACTCAGGATGTGGAGGCCAGCCTGGGATATATAGGGAGCCCCTATCTCTAAATAAATAAATCTAGTGCTTTTAGTATTCCACCCCACCTTAATGCATTAAATTTTTCAGTGTTATCGTTAGACAGACTAATGAGTCACTATTGTTGTCATTTGTGTTAAAACTGTTTGGCCAGATAGCTACAAATAATGCAAAGCAAAAAAGCAACACAGACCCAACACTCAATATAAAATATAGGCTCTACCTGGTAGAGTCCATACTTAGTACAGCAGCCACAGCCACTCACACACTTCCCTCCAAGGCTGAAAAGCCCTGTGTCAAGGTTACCACCTGATGCAAAATCAAGTCTACTTGTAAGGAATAGAAAAATTGATTATAGATCATTCTTCAGTTGGCAAGAAATGGTGGCAGCTTCAAGAGGTTTTTCAAGTAGTTTGTTTTTTAGGTTCATTTTTGTTTGAGGAAGAACTTCTTTGGATTTGGTTTGGTAAGTCTGAAGCATACTTCTGGGCAAAGCAGGAAGCCAGTGTAGAGAGACATTAATTTAAAAAAAAAAAAAAAAAGGGGGAAACAAAGTGGCAAAGCCTGGATGTAGATGAAAAAATTAGGTAGCCATTTCTGGATTTTTTTATTTAATATTAAATTATCTTATTCCAAGCAGACATAGAGAAGGGCTACATTCCTGATGTTAAGAAATTAAAGAGTAAGGAAATATTCCTAAGCCTAGAGAGTCTGACCAAAAATACTTGTCTTTTAAAAGCAAACCAGGGCCAGCCAAATAGCTCAGCAGGTTAAAGCAACTACATAGGCAGACACAGTGCCCATCCAGGGTTCCATCCCAAGCATGCTGTGCTGGCCCCGCTCCTGGGGTGCGCTGAGATGACAATTGAGACTGAGCATGGTGGCGCATGCCTGTAATCCCAGCTCTTGGGAGGCTGAACACAGGGGGAATCACTACGAGTCCAGTCTACATAGTGAGACCTTGTAGACCCTGTACTAAAATTACTAAAAAATAAAAGCAAACTATTTAACAGTCCAGTGAAGCTATGAAGTTGATAGACAGCATCTACAGGATATATCCTAAAGAACCAGTTTTATGCAGTATTAGATATGTGGACTGTCCTAGTTTCAATTCCAGGGCATTCACAATTGTTATGACCTTGGGCAAGCTTGTGAATATGTGTCTTTTCTTGACCCAAAACCTGCAGTAATTAAGATAGCCTTATATAAAACCTTAGTCAGGGTCTAAGCACCTGCTTTGACAAGCGCAGGGACCAGGGTTCCATCGCTCTAGTCCTGCATGCTGCGCTGGTCCCACCCCCAGGGCACACTGAGCCAGCAACCAAGTTTGGGCATGGTGGCAACGCCTATAATTCCAGCGCTGGGGAGGCTGAAAACAGGAGGATCACTATGAGTCTGAGCTTCTAGTGAGACCTTGTACCAAATATATAAATGAAAAAATAATAATAAAACCTTAGGCCAGTGCCTGCCTGGGAACCAGTAAACATTCAGTTAGTGTTTGCTTTTGTTGTGCTTTGTTTTTGAGACAGACTTACTGTGTAATTCAGACTGTCCTTGAACTTACTATATAGACTAGGTGGCCTCTCCTGCCTCAGCCTCCTAAGCACTGAGATTCCAGGCATGTGTCACCATACCCGGCCAGTGTTAGTGTTTAAATAGAGATTCTGTGCACGAACCCTTTGTATTAACAAGCCAGTGATGTTGTTGCTGCGAACATAAAGAGATGGTTGAACCATTCCAACATTTGGCACTTTGTTTTCCATTCAGTTGAGTGTAGGATCTTTGGGTCTTCTAGTAAAGAGATATGTTAAAATGTTTCATGTAACTTAGAAGCAATTTCAGTTTTCTTTCAAATATAGTGTATGAGTTTATGTCCTATTTTCAAGCATACAATAGTGGACAATATATGTAGATTTGTACTGAATTGCCTTAGGAAGAACTCTTAAACATATTTACTCTCCTATTATCACTGCTAATGGTGGACTTTCAACAAAACTCTTCCCATACTATCTGCTTGCAAGGTTTTTGTATGTGTGTGTGTGTGTTTTCTTTGCAGATTAACAGAAACCTTTAAAAAAGAAGATGATCTTGATAGTCTGATTAATGAAATATTTGAAGAGCCTAGCTTTCACCAGAAACCTCGTGTAAGTGAAGTGTTATACTGTGGAGTAACACGTACATTGTCCCAAGGCAAGGAGAGTGGCCTTGCAATTTAAAGGAGGCACAGTAGCGCCCTGCAATCCTCTGACTTTTAAGAAAGTTACTTAAGTAATTGTTATGAGTTGGTGCCGAAAGAAACGACAGGAAGACCTGAAGAATATAGTTTCAGAGGTCTTACTGAGATTAGTCTCTCTCCAAGTGAGCCCAGAGCCTCAGAAGCATCTCACATTTATTGAGGGCTAAAGGCAAGCTAAGGAATCTGCAGAATTACTTAAGTGAATACAAACTACTAACTACTATCTCTATTGACTTCCACCATTTGCCTAATACTAGGTCCACACAAATGCTAACCAATAACATCCCAAACTTGAGGGATCAAAGAACAGGGTGCCAGCGGGAGAAGCTGTTATCTGCAGCCTTGAATCCCAGCTTTCCAGAATTTACAAGTGAGAGACAGCAGCTCTCCCTGGGCTCTGTCTATTGCTCCTTATTCCTTTGGGACATTAGGCTTTTGTCTCATATCTATATTTCTGTAGTTACAGTGCTCAAAGAGTTGTAGAGGAGGGCCAGGCGTGGTTTCACACGCCTATAATTCCAGTATCAGGAGGCTGAGGCTGTCTCAGCCTTCTGGATTGTTGCAAGTTCAAGACCAACCTGGGTTACCAAGTGAGCTCAAGGACAGTGTGAACTGCATAGCGAGAACCTGTTTCAGAAAGACCAACCCAAAAAGAATTGTGAAAGAAAAGTACTCAGAATTCTCTGCGTGTCTCCCTGTTCATTTCTCAGCAATAGAAGATTGTACAAGCTGTTAATGTAAAAGTCAGTTCACAGATCAAGTTGGTCACTTGTATTTATTTGTAGGCGCTAAAAAGACCTCTCTACAAGACCAAAAGCAGCTTTTGTTACAGCAATATGTTTAGCATCTCAAATGGGATATTCAGTTATCCTAAGAGCCAGTGACTAGATCATTAATATATTAATCTTTTAAATGTTTCTCTATTTTAACTTTATAAAAAAATTCATAAAATAGCCAGATGTGGTGACCCACACCTGTAATCCGAGCTAAGGCAAGAAAGCTCAGGCAAGAAAATGAGAAGTTTGAGGCCAACCTGAACAACTCAGGGGTTTTTTTTATTTTTTTGAGACAGGGCCTCACTATGTAGTTCAGGCTGGCCTCAAGTTTGTGATGATCTTCTGCCTCAGCCTCCCAAGCACAGTTATTACAAGCGTGTACCATGACACCCAGCCTTCAGAATATTTTAGAAATGTTGAAAGGCCCTGGGTTCAATCCCAAGGAAATTTTTTTGTAGGGTGTACAGGGTCTCGCTGCATAGATTGGACTCGTAGTGATCCACCTGTTTACAGCCTCCCAAGTGCTGGGATTACAGGCACACCACCATGCCCAGTCTCAGTCGCCTTCTCAGTGCGCCCCAGGGGCTGGGCCAGCTGGCATGGCTGGCACAGCAGGCCCCAGGATTGAACCCCCAGCCCCTGCGTCTGCCTAAGCAGGCACTTTAATCCGCTGAGCTATTTGGTCAGCCCCCAAAGAGATTTCTAAAATAATAAAGCAGCCAGCTATATACTGAACTTATAACACCAAACCTATTTTAATATTCTGCTATATCTACTTCTCTGGGCTTTTTTTTTTTTTTTTTTTTTTGAAAGAAATACAAATTAGAGATGGTTTATGACCTCTACAAATCCTACGCAGCTACCTCCTTTCCCAGAAGTAACTACCATCCTTTCTATCTGTATTATACTAAGCAGATGGCATTTAATCAGTTATTTTGTGTCTTCTTTTTAAAGAAATACAAATTAGAGATGGTTTATGACCTCTACAAATCCTACGCAGCTACCTCCTTTCCCAGAAGTAACTACCATCCTTTCTATCTGTATTATACTAAGCAGATGGCATTTAATCAGTTATTTTGTGTCATCTTTTTCCCACAGGCAAGTGTTTTTTTTTTCTTTAAGTTGCATAAACCTAGAAGGGAAATTCTTGAACCTTAAGGTGTGTTTATCTTCACCTTATTGCTATTCATTGCCATATTATTTTCTAAGTAATTGTCTTATATTTTTTATATATTATGTTATCAGCATAGTCTGTGAAATTTATTTTTTAGATACAAAGAATGAAATCAAATAGATGTCTAGTTTACAGAGGCCACCAAAAAAAAGCTTTAAAATAAGTGTCGTACCCAGAAGGACTTATTCTAGTTTTTTGGTCCGGTCTGGTCTGGTCTGGTCTGGTTTTTTGACACAAGGTCTTTAGTTCAAGCTGGCCTTGAACTCGCTGTGTAGCCTCTGCTAGCCTCAAACTCACAGATCTGTCTCAATCTCTAAGTGCTGAGATTACAGGTAGGTACTGTCAGTATTGGTTTTGTTTTTGAAGATAGAGAACATTAAAGATGGTAATGGTAGTGTTATGGATAGGAGCTACTGGTATTTTTGTCAGCCAGACAATCAAGTGACTAATACAGATTTTAGAATCTAAATTTAACATTTTCAGTTCTTCTAAAGGTAAACTAGAAACCTGACACCTACAGCTAACTTACATCAAAAAGAGCACTGTTGAAGTCATATAATATATTCCATAAGTCCCAAATACGTGTGCCATCAGTGCTGGATAGTATGGGAATAGTGCCAGAAACTAACATGATCTTGTTGTTAATCATCTGAGCAGTTCTGTTCCCTGCCCCCTGCTATAATGTACATGCCTGTATATGAGACGTTGTCCTCACTTCACGTTATTTCAGACACAGACAAAACTTACCATATTAGGATTTAAGGTATACTGTGGGGGTACAGATGTAATTCCAGAGTAGAGCACTTGTTAGCATGTCCAAGGCCCTGGATTTTTTTTTGTAAACAAATAGCAATGAGACAGTTTCAAAACAGGTTAGTAGGACAGTTACAATAATTAATACATTGCATATTGTTGTCTTCATAGTAGTTATTCATAGTACAAGATGCAGGCATGATACCCTGTCCAAACACTATTAGTATAAATCTTCTCACTGAATTAAGAGAAAGTAGCTGTAGATCTATTCTGACCATTTTGTATATACAGATACAAAATGGTCCTTCATTTATATCCCCTTTTTTGTTTTGTCAGAGATGGGTATTCCATTGTCATTTAAATATTGTAGGTGTGTGAATTCAGCAAGATATTCCAGTATAGTCCAGTAGTCCATAATAGTAGTGGGTTATCTGTAGGACTGACAATGTCAGAAGATGTTGACTTGAGCCTTTTACAGCTCAGCATATTAATATGGCTTTACTTTTTATACCTCGTTTTTATACTTTTCTGCTGGATGGTTAAGACCAAGATAAAGCAAGACGTATTTATCAAGAAATGTAACACGTATCTGCCAAAATCAGTCAGATCCCCTCAGGATTTACCCTGAAACCCTGTACCACAGTTTGTAGATCCTTTGTCAGTGTCAGCAAGGCCCTGGTTTTAATACCTAACACTGCCAAAAACAATAGTACAAAAATCAAAAACACTAGTAATTTGAAATAAAAATAGTTCTTATGATTATGAAGAAATAACCGTGTGTATTTCCTTTTTGTTGTTGTTATATCTGGTTTTCCAACCTTCCAGGCAGAGTAAGCCTGTGCAAACAGTGAGGAAAGGAGGTGCCTGGACTGAATGGTTCCTGCCCCTGTTGTCCTGGGGGCCGTGTAACCACCTGAAAACACTGCTCTTCACCCACCTCTGCTCAGTCTGGTGCACTTCTAACCTGCCCTCAGACCCACACCAAAAAGTCAAGGAACAGATGTCACAGTGTGCCAGCTTAGAGTCACAATTGTGAGCCCAGTTGCTATATGAAATACACTTCTCAAGACAGACTCCTACACATTATTTCAGTGATGTATCAAATAATTTTCCAGTTCTGTTTAACATCAAATAAAAATGTTTTTGGCATCAGACTTCCTCATCCACTAAAGAAAATGAAGACATGTCCCTGCACAGTTTAAACTGCCCTTTCTCCATCTCACTTCCTCTCTTTGGCGGTGGTCCTAGTATGTGATTGGTTTATGCTCAGTATCATATGCCAGTTAACACTTAATAAAGGCTTGCTAATGATGGGGATGTTATATAACTATATATAGTACTACTGTGTGGTTCTGACTAAATAGTGCTATATTTTCCTTGAACATCTATTGGCTGAATTTCTATTCAATCAAAATTAATATTCCTGAGGTTACACAGGAGTTTGGTTAGTTTATTTTTAGTTCAGATAAGTCCCATTCTCAGCCTTAAAAAATGAGTCTGAGGTTTTTTTCCTTCTCAAGTTGAATTTTTCCAGAATGCAGTTTTAAATAGTAGGCCCTTCATAGTAAATCATTTAACTCTGGTATTAACTGAAGAGTTATAAAGTGACTAAATCTTAGCATGCTAATAATGGCAATATATCAACTTCCTGGAGTAGAATTTACCATAGTAGTTTGCAAATTCTGTTCTACATCTCTGTTGCTTTCAAAAGGCTTTGATAATTTTAATTTCAGATACTTAACAAATGATGCCACCAGAAGTTTTGTTATTTCTAAAATATTCTTGTTATAAAATGAAAGTATGACTTTTCATGTTGTAATTCTCCAAGTTGCTCTGGGCCTTTTATTGTTTTGTGTTTTTTGACAGAAATTAAAATCTAAGCCTTCAGGTAACACATCTGTTCAAGCTTCTCTTCAAGGCCCCCATAAAAGGTAAGTGGAGATTGCTGTGGTGAATTATACTCTCATGAGCCACCACTGTGAGCATGATCTAGTAGATTCTGTTACCGTTTAAGCAGCAGCGACACTGAAGAATAAAGCACTGGCTGGCTTTCAAGAGGAAGACCAATAGTAATATCTCAGGGTTCCTATTGTCTGACCCCTCAGTATGAAGGAAATTAAATAGGAGATTATTGCTGTTGTAAATAATTCTCTGCCATGTTAAAGTGTGAACAGTCCTGCAAAATGAATGTTCTGTTACAGTCTTTAGTATTTACTTTGTCCCTTACGTTATTTGGCAAACACATTTTTCTGTGACTCATTTTAACTCCTTGAGTGTTTCTGAATGCACAGGTGATACCTAATAAAGCAGTGATCCTGTAGTAAATACCTCCTTTGAAATCACTGGCTTGCTAGCGAAAATAATACGATTTGATCACAGGGACATAGAGTCAGTGTGGCCAAATTAACTTCTCATGTTTCTGTTTTATTGAAATTTTCATTTTTCTCCATCTGTTGAACACGTCTAGTTGCAGCCCAGTATACCTTGGTGGAAGCATGGTTCCGTGTGGGATTGGAACACGTAATTCACAGAGGTAGGGTATCACAAACATGTTATACTTTCTTACAGGTTTTACAGCTTGATGTCCTGTTGCTAAAAGGCAGAGTTCTTATCATCTTGACATTAGTCAGTTTTATGACAAATGTATCTGTTTGACCAACCTAAGAACACTTTATTGACACATTTCTTCTTGGGATATAGCTATTGAAAGCAGTGCTGTCGCCATACACTGTTTGCATGTTAATGTCCTTTTCCAAGTCTCGCATGAAGCCCCAGCTAGGTGATACAAGCAGCAGGGGCGTGACCTTCCTTGCATGCGGTGGAAGCCCATGAGTGGCAGAGTAGGTGAAGTAGTCTGTGCAGCTCGCGTGACGCCTGATTCATACTGACAGCCAGGCAACATGTAAAGCTATGGGTCTGCATTATCCAAAATTGCTCGTGTAGTCACTTGATTTTGCACATTTCAAAAGCAGAAAGCCACCATTTTTTGCCTTCTCTCTGCCTGCTCCTAACCTGCTTTCTCTTTCTAGGCAGTCTTACAGCAGTCATGATGCTGCGACCCCCAGCTCATATTAGCTTCTGTGGTAGCACGTTCCGTTAGCATTTGTGTAATTTAGGGGGAAAGACTAGTGTAAAAGAAAATTTTCTGCTGGCCTGCTACTTTGGATTCTGTTTTGTGGCAGATGCCTATTTGCCTATATCACTATTTTTTCTAATTCGAAAATACTTTAGGGGCCGGGGAGATGGCTCAGTAGAATAAGTGCTTGCCTAGCAAGCACAAGGGCCTGAGTTCAATCCCCAATTTCAGAAGAAAAAAGAAGAAAAAAAAGGAAACACTTTATTTTCTGTTACTCCTTTAAAATACTGGGTTGTATGATTGCAAATAACCAGATTTCTGAAGGATTGTTACAATAGTAATAGGAGTTAGATCTAAAAAGACATTAGTGGAGGATCATGCTGGTGCTAATGTAGATCCTGGGAGCCCTGAAGGAAAGTCTGGGTCCCAAGTGAGGTTGGGAGTCTGGGAATCCTGCTTTACTCAGGAGCACCACCAGGCAGCAAACAGGCTGAGCCCCGAGGGTGCTGCCCTTGCAGGCACTGTCACTGAGAATCAGGAGACAGTTGAATCAGCACGTACAGAGGAATGCCTAAAAAAAAACCCAGCCATATAGTGTAGTCTCTTTGCTATCAATCATGAATTACCTGGACCGACTCAGTTGGGCCTGTCCCAGTGCCACTTCCCAATTAGGCATCCATCAAGTCACCCATGAGCTACAGTTTCCGAGTTTGCACTTGCAGTATTCAAGGTAGTGTCCCTGAAGTGTTGCCTTGAGTACCGTCTCCTGTCCAGGAGGCCTGTGAGAGCTGCCATCTGTCTCGCATTACCTCTGAACTTGCTCCTTTCCCGTTAGTTCCTTCACCTGCAGCTAAAGCCTGGGTCAGATATTTCACTTGCACTGGAAACTTGGCATGTCTACCTTCCATTTATCCTTTCTTTTTTTTTTAGACAGGATCTCACCTGTATTTCAGCCTTGGTCTCACTTTGCAGCCCACGCTGGTCTTGAATTTGCAGCGATCCTGCTGCCTCAGCCTCCCAAATGTGGGATTATAGGCATGCACCACCATGCCCAGCTCCTTCCCTTTGTACTTTTCATCCTCTTAACATTAAAGTGACACTGTTCTCTGCCATGTCTCCTGCTATCTTACCTGCTTAATTTATACACTGTATATTCAATTGATCTTTTCTCATTTGTCTTTTTTCTTTTTGGGAGGAGGCGGAACCAGGGATTGAACTCAGGCCCTTGCGCTTGCCAAGGAAGTGCTTATTCCACTGAGCCATGTCCCCAGCCCCTCTTTTGTCTTTTGAAATGCATTAAATGTACACCCTGAGCCTTGGGGTAGTTTACCAAAAAAGAGAGAGAGAGAGAAAGAGAGAGAAAGCAGGAGAGTGGCTGAAACAAGTAAAGAGCTAACGATTCCACTGAGGCTTGAAGAAGAAGGGCTCATGAGAGAACAACCGAGTCACTCCGCCCCTCACAAGCTTGCTAGGTCTGACGATGTTATCTTCTAAAATCTCACTTTCCTGTCCCATAAAAACTGATCATATTTCACAGGGTCCTTGTAAGGATGAAAAGTAATATGGTACACATAGTAGATGTGCCTGTGAGGCGGAAGAGAGCTAACCATGGCAGGGACCTTGGCTTGTGCTTGTCATGTCTTCCCATCAGCTCATCCTGCTCTCCCATCTCAAAACGAGAATCCTGTGTTGCATTGTGTTTCCATTTTATCTCAGGAAATATGTTATCAGTGATTAGTTACAGGTGCTTCTGATTTTAAGTGTAGTCTTTTAAAAAGTATATACTGGCTTTTAAAACTTTTCTTGAATATAGTATTTTTATATGTGTGCTTTTAGTTCTACCATAGAGAAGTATTACTTGTAGGTAGAATTTCAGTGGCTAGAGCAACTTGAACCAGGAATGGTGGGGCATGCCTGTAATTCCAACACTCAGCAGGCTAGGGCAGAAAGATCACTGAGTTGGAGGCCAACCTGGGCTACATAGCAAGACATTTGTCTCAAAACAAGCAAACAGAAAACCAGTGTGTTTTTGTATCTTGAAAGTCCTATCACAATCTACCAGATCCATTCCTACCTTCTACACATCTATAAGAGGAAATACTGTGTTCTACATAAGCACAGCTAAATGTGTATATTCGCGGACCTTCCTCACCCAGCACAGAAGTACAGTCATCCGCTGCCCCTTTCAGCCCAGAATTGGCACACATAAGACAGACACATGTATTTGAGTACACATAGAACACTTTATGTGTAAGTTTCTTATACTGTCCAGAGCGCTTTTGAGTGTGCTGGTTAGCTCACCTAGGAGGAGCGGGGACAAGATCCAGATAGAGCCAGAATTTTTAACTCGATTTTACAATGCAGCCACTAGGTCACAATGGTACTGCCAAGCTGTGGTGTTGGGTAGGTTAGGAATATTAAACATGCTGGGTGTGATACCACATACCTGTAATCCTAGCACTTATTAAGTTGAGACAAGAAGATCACTGGGAGTTCAGGGCCAGCAGGCGCTACATAGTGAGACCCTGTCTCAGAAAACCAAAAAGTGTTACATTTTAATTTAGGATACATTTATCAAAATGTAGCCTAATTATAAGTTGGGAGCATCTACATAGTCATGAAAGAAAAAAAAAAAAAACTAAGCCCTGAAAACAAAGTTTTTTATATGCTAAGGGCATAAGTTGAGTCTTTTCTGCCTATTGGTTTTATTTCTTTGATTCCTGGACAGTGCTTTGGTTTGTAAGTAGTGACGAATGTTTTGCAATATAAAGATTTGAGTTCTTTTCTCAGTGTGAGAAAGAAGGAAGATTTTCTGGTTTGTGAAAAGAAAGAATAGTAGCTGGAAGTGTGGTGGCATCAATGAGTAGTGTAGATAAAATCAAGACATTATTTTCAAGCCAAATTTTACTTCTTAAACTGCTTGTAAGACTAAATTATTCCATAGACTTGTACTAATTATGATCTAATAGAGTGAATTGTAGCAGTGGAATGATTTCTTAGCTGCTAGTTAGTTTTATTTTTCTCATAGGGCAGTGTAGGAAAATGTGGTAGTGTGAATAGATTTGAATAAACTACTAAATTTTTAAATTAAATTAAAATGTTGTACTTAACATTGTGGTTGAGATTTTTCACATAAAAAATGTCAGGAAATTCTAAGTTATAGTTCCCACAGCAGCAGTATTTCAGCTGAATTGCACACATGTATTAAGGCATTAAAGTTAACACTTTGTGCAATAGAGTAATAAACTGTCTATGCATACGCAAGCAAGTTAGGGTCGCTTTGGGAGCCGTCGTTCTGCATTTCCTCACTTGTGCATTCAGAAGCTGAGTTCAGATGTGTACCAGTGTCGTTGTGTTGAATCTCTGTATGTACAAATACAGCTTTATAAATTGCTAACAGTTTCATAGAAAATACAGAATTGCTTATGAAACTCATCTAGACTTTTAAATACTTATTTTAGTTATTAATAATATTTTTAGAAAAATAAAGGATTCATTATCATAAAAACTTTCAGGCCCAAAAAGTTTTACAGCTTGAACTTAACATATCTGAATTTTGGGGGGAAGGAAGTGAAAAACAATCTTACAATGGGTTTGTCTTTATTATGTTTTATGGAAGTATTATATGCCTATTTAAAATGAAAACTCTGTAAAGAAAAACAATCTCTCCTTCATTTCCAGCATTGCTAGGCAACCAGAGTTAGCTGCATACTATAACCTGTATCTTGCTCCATTTGCCTTCTAATTTAAACCCATCTATGCAGGAGAGGGTTTGGATTGTTTTTGTAAAAATAGGATCATGCTGTAGTGTCTGGTGGACCCCAGAATTCGTAGGGGTCACATTCCTAGAGCACTTGTGAATTGGGAGAAAAGGCATATCCAAGTGTGGTCAGAGAAATGGGTCTAAGTGCCTGTTATGCTACTGTAGCATCACTGCTTAGCTCCTCGAGCAAATCCAGTAGATCAGCCTTCTCCTGGCATGTCTTAAACTTCTTCTGGCACCTAGTTTCATGCCAGAAGCCTTAGAAGGTGCAGAGCATTTGGTTGGCATGTTAGGGATCCTACACTTAAAGAAAAACAAATCTGAGAACATGCACATAGCTACAGTAGCTACTGACAGACAGTATCGCAGCCTGTTTTGATGAAGGAATGCTGGCACGTCTGCCCAGATGGGTTACTGGGCAGCAGCCAATCAGCAGCAAGAGCTATGCTCTCGGGTTGGCTGCTTGCAGACTTCCCACCAAAATAACACTTGCAGAAGATATTTGCAGTTTCAGTGAATTAAGGGGGTTCCACTAGTGACTAGGGCTGTGAACTCTGCACTGCAACTTTACAGGGATATATTGTATTTTCCTGTGTAACCTGCTTTGGATATCCCTCCAGGTCAGAAGGTAAATCTAACTTAATTTTCTTTATCAGCTACCTACTTTTTGCTAGATATTCAAGAGGTATCTTTTTTTCTTTTGTTGTCACTTTAATAATCTTCAGTAAAAATTCATGAGATACATTCTTATATATTGTTGCTTTTATTTATATGTAATTTTTCCAAAACAGGATTTGCAAGCACCAGAAAACCAGGCCCAGTGGTACATGTCTTTAATCCCAGCAGGAAGATCACAAGTTCAAGGCCAGCCTGGGCAATTTAGCAAGACCCTGTCTCAAAATCAAAAACAGTGAAAGTATAGTTCAGGGAGAGAACACCCGTGGGCTAGGCTTAGAGCCCCAGCACCTCAGATAGTAATAACAGTGCCACGCTTTTCTCAAAATATACTAGTGTATGAGAATGCTAATTTTAACTTAATTGATTAAGATAACTTCATGATTGCTTTAAATTTTAATGCTTTATGTAACCCTTTAATAAACACTCTGTGCCAGGCACTGTACCAGAATTAACTCATTAGATCCTCCTCATTCTATGAGGCATGTAAGTACTCTTATTTATCCCATTATACAGACAGAAAAACTGAGTTGTAAAAATGTGAGTTATTTACATACTTACAGAGCTAATAAATATTGGAACCAGCATTTGAATCCAGGTGCTGAGTACTTAGAATCCACGCTCTTTGGTATTATTTGCTGCCTGTACTAGTGTGGTTATTATTTTTATATTTTTCTCTTATTTATAAACACTTTTCATGCAATATAAGTATGCGAGCATGTATTGAAAGTGTTCTCTGCTCTATTACTTGTCTTTTCTCTTTGGGGAGAAGAGTATGTCTTAAAAACTACTACTTTTTAAGTTTTAGATGATTGACTGTGTCTGTTGATTCTGGTTTTAAAATACTTCAAATGATTGAAGATGTTTCTTTTTGTTTAATTTATTTGGTGCAGGGTCTCACTATGCAGCTCAGATTCATAATGATCCTCCTGTTTTCAGCCTCCCCAGCACTAGGATTACAGGTGTGCACCACCATGCCCAGTCTTGATGGCTGGCTTGGCGCGCCTGGGGGCAGGATCAGCACAGCATGTGGTACCAGGGATCAAATCCCAGTCCCTGCACTTGCCTAAGCAGGCACTTGGTCTGCTGAGCTATCTCACTGGCCCTAAGATGTTTCTTTAGAGTAAATCATAATCACTGTGCAAGTCATTATAATCAGCAGTGATTCATGGCCCTTTTTTAGTTTGTCCTGTGCTATCATTTTACTTCTAAGGTCTTATTGATGTGTGCATAATTATGCTTTGAGAATTGTTTGTCCCTTGACTTTCTCGGCTTTTGACTGCCCTTATAAGCTAAGCATCGTTATAGCTCCCTCTGCCATCCTGTCCGCCATCAGTAGCATTTCACTCCTCGCTGTATCTTGTCTCAGCACACAAGTGTGCACTTTTCCTCCCGTCTTAAAACCGTGAGTAGTTTTTAGTAAAACTCCTCAGATGTACCTTCTCAGTGAGGCCTATGTAAACACCCTGTTTAAAACTGTCACCCCCTTCCCTTCTGATATTTCCTGGGGGTTTTGTTTGTTTGTTTGTTGTTGTGTTTTTATCCTCCTCTGTTTATTACCTCAGTTCCTCAACTTAATTCTTTCTATGATTCTGTTCACAAACCAGAATCAGATTTCCCATAAAGTCAACATTGACCTTACCCTTGGAATTTGATTCAGTTCTTATCCATTTTGATTTGCAGCCAAAATTGTGGTAATTTGGCTCAGTATGTGCTAGTAAAGTTTTTTGTTTTTTGGTTTTTTTTTTTTTTTTTTTGGCAGAACCGGGGATTGAACTCAGGCCCTTGCGCTTGCCAGGGAAGTGCTTATTCCACTGAACCATCTCCCCGGCCCCTAGTAAAGTTTTTAAGTAAGGAATTGAATTCATACATGCCAAGTAGTGGGAAGACAGAAACAAGTAAGATACCGACACAGCACTGAAATAGTTATCGAAAAGACAGCTTCCTTTCAGCACATTCTTTAACAGAGGAATCTTTTTTTTTTTTAATTTTATTTATTTATTTAGTGTGTGTGTGTGTGGCCAGCTCAGCCCACCAGGGGGCGGGGCTGGCTGGCATGTGGTGCTGGGGGATTGAACCGTGGTCCCTGGGCTTCGCTAAGTTTGTTCCAAGTAGGTGCTATAGACCACTGAGCCATCTCACCAGCCCCTAACAGAGGAATCTTCAGAAAGTTCAGTAAGAAGGGGAGCTCTTCAAAGAAGTTAGCGTCAATGGAGAGCTCCCTCAGACAATTTGAAACATCTCAGAAGTAAAAGACTTTTTGTCTCTGTAGTGTATACATATGCACATGTGTGTCAGTATGGGAGATATTAGAGGAGACGTGTGCAAAATAACCTGAAAGTTTGGATATTTAAATAGTCCTTCACATCTGTACCAGATACTTTATCATTCAGTGATTGTAATATCTAGAATATTCTAAGAATAAATCACCATATTTTCATATTTAAGCATCCCAGTGATATCTAATTACATTTCTTTTTCTCTGAACAGAGCATGTGACTGTCTACGCTGTATAGCCTGTGATTTCAGGGTAGTGAGCTACAATGATTATATGTGGGACAAATCATGCGATTATCTGTTTTTCAGGTATGTTTCTAAAGAACTTCACTCTGTGAAAAATGTACCAATATTGTGTGACCTTTACCTCCTTGGTATTTCTCTCACCCTTCCTTTCCTTTCTTTCTTCTCTGTCTGCTACAAGTAGCCTTTTCACTATTTTTGTGCCTACAAGCTTTTCTTCTCTTGCTCAGAATTAAAGCAGAGCTCTGAGTGTGCCATTCTCCTGCCCATTATCCTTCTACTCTCAGAAGAGACCAGCTTCTGTAGCGTGCTATTCAAGACCCGTCAGGCCCAGCTTTGCCCCCTACAGTGTGCTTTCACCCTTATAAGATCTTAGCTGGAGTACTGCCCTCGATGCCACTATGCCCTCTGACCGTGCAGGCTCCCCGCTTGCTGGGACGCTGTCCCCACTGGTGTACCTGTCTGTCCCTTAGAGAACAGTGCACTGAGCATCTTCCATAGTGCGCTCCTCACTCTTAACTTCAGCTGTTCTCTTTTCCTGTGTGTCCTCAACACTTTGTAATGATGTGGCACTTGAGCCATAGCATTGAAGACCTTATGTTGTTTTATAGTTAACCTTCCTCCTTATGGTCAGGATGATAGCTTACTCATATTTTTATAATTTGTACTTACATACTTATAAAACATCAAAATATAACAAGTTGCAGAAATGTATTTGAAAAATACATTCACATTTTTATTACTAAGAGTTAAGCCTGGGCATCACCTGTCATGCCGACCCTGCCCCCGGGCATGCTGAGCCAGCCAATGAGACTGGGCATGGTGGTGCATGCCTGTAATCCCAGCACTGGGGAGGCTAGATAAGAGGATCACTACAAGTCCAAGCTGTGTAGTGAGACCCTGTACAAAATACATCTAAAAAATAAAAATAAACAGATAAGCATTAATAAAGTACATATTACCATGCCCTTTGGCCTGCTTGACTGATGCCTAAACATTGTTTTCAGCTACAATCTCAGTATATTGCAGTACTTTTCAATAAAGAAAAAGAGACATCTGGAGGTAAGCTCAGGGCTAGAGCCTCTAGTGTGTAGCATGCATGTGCGGCCATGGTTTGATCCCCAGCAAAACCGAAAGGAAGAAAAATGTCAGACTTACTTCAGTGCAGTCATTCTCAAGTAAATCCATGGGAGTCTCTCCTAATTGTTACATCAAGAACTGTGGTGAAAATCTTATAGTGCTCTGAATCCTTTTTATTCGCATGCACGCACGCAGGCACACAAGCACTCAAATATATAAATATATGGAAAAAGTACACTTCTAGCATTTGACAATTTCCAACCCAAATAAAGCCTTATTCAGTCCCCAAATCCTTGCCCAGAATCCCTACTCTTAAATTTAGCCCACTTTTTATTCCAATAGTTGGAAACATTATCTTTTAATTTTAGTTTAATTTTGCCTTTTCTGAACTCTCCAAATCTATTTACTGTCTTCTGAATTTTTTTTTTTTTTTTTTTTTTTTTTTTTTTTTTTTTTTGCAGTACCAGGGGTCAGACTATTTACTGTCTTCTGACTAGCCTAATAAGTGATTAATAATCTTCACAAGATGGGCCTTATACATTTTTATAAAACCAGTATAGGGTAATAAGATGTATGTAACATCAAAACAGTGATGAGTACCGGCGTAAAGTCAGCATGTAGGTGACTTCGCTGGTCCTTGCATCAAGAACACCGTGGACTGAGTGTAGCTCAGTGAAAATGTGCGCCCCTTGAATTCATGGAGCCGTGGGTTCAGTCCCTAGCACTGCTTTATAAGAGGAAACCTGTTGTGTTGCTCCAGCTCTGTGACACCCTGGCTGGAAACATGGTTTGTTTTTAGATGAAACAGATCTGTTACACTAGTAAAAATAAAGAAGTAGTTATTTTTACTGTGCAGTCATTCTCAGTATAAAAATACCATCTCAGCATGGAGATGCTTAGGAATACACTTGGGATGTAAGAGAGTGGTACAACTAGAGAATAAGGCTGTCTCCACAAACAGGATGTAACTTGTTGATATGACACGAATTTTGTAGAGATTGGTGGTGTTTCCTTACCCAGCAAACGTTCCTTAGCTCTTGTTTTTTAGTTGTGGATTCATAAGATAAAGAGGACTCCGTTTCTTCTCTTAAGTAAGCACAGTTCTGAGTGAGAGAGATGAGAACACATCATGCCATCAGTGCGACAATGGAGGAAGGGTAGAAGAAAGGATGTCACAGGGCAAAGTGGATGCCCTTCACTGTGCAGCGCAAGGGGAGGCAGCTCAGAGTCCTGAAGAGTGCGCCTGGCAGCTAGGGTTTGGCAAGAATATGGTATAATACTCTCTTAGGTGGTATATCCATGTTTCTAATAGCTAAATCTTGGAAGCATCCTTTGTGTCTATCAGCAGATGAATGAATAAGGAAAATGCAGTGGTGTACACAATGGAGCACTGCTCTACCATGAGAAAGATGAATTGGAATCACTCATGGTAAAAGGGTGCATCTTGAGCTCATGTTAGTGAAATACATCAGACACACAAGCTTAAATAATGTGTGATTTCATGTATATGAGAAACCCAAATATAAAGAGCAGAATAAAATATAGAAAATAAGACGTAAGGAGATAAATCTGTCTCAAATGAGAAGGGAATCAAAAGATAGAAAAGAAAGGAGGGAATGGAGGGTGTCTTAGTTACTTTTCTCATTGCTGAGACCAAATACCCAACACTCAAAATTAAAGGAAGAAAGATTTATTTAGCTCTCAGTTTGTGGAGGTTTCAGTCCATACTCAGCCGACTCCAAGGCAAAGTGGCACATGGCAGAGGGCAGCAGTTTGTGGTGACAGAAAACAGCAAAAGCAACGGGAGCAAAAAGTGTAGCGGAGAATAAGCCTCTTCCCCTCCCTTACACTGTAAGCAGGCTGCCACCCGGTAGGGCAGGTATAGCACTCACTGCATCTCCCTGCCCTCTTGCACAGGATGTGGATGTTTATAAAGTAAGGACCCTGGCTCCCTGCTGAGTGGCTTAAACACTCAGGCTGACACAATGTATCAACCATAACAGAGAGGAAGGGAAAGAAAAAAATTAAAATGTATACATATTTCAACTCCCCACAAAGAATGTAATCATTATGTACTGTAAACATGTACTAATAAAAAGTGAAAAATAGGACCACAGAGATAGATGAGTGGTCTAAGCACGAGCCTGGCAAGCACAAGAGCCCAGATCTGATCCCGGTACCGCATGCTTTGCTGGTCCAGCCCCAGGCACCCAAAGCTAGTCACTAAGACCAGGCGTGGTGGTACACACCTGTAATCCCAGCGCTGGGGATGCTGAAACAGGAGGATCACTGTGAGTCCAAGCTGCATAGTGAAACCAAGTACCAAAGACATAAAATTTAAAAAAGAAAAAATAACTGGGTGTGGTAGCCCACAGCTATAATCCCAGCACTCAGGAGGCTGAGGCAGAAGGATCCTTGGGAGTTTGAGACCAGTCCAGGCTACAAAGTGAGCTCAAGGCCCATCTGAACTGCATAATGAGACCTTGTCTCAAAAAACAAAAAGGAAAAACTAATACAGAAGTGAGACCACATGACATGTTTGGGGAGATAATGAGAAGTTGGAACTGTACCAACTCAGATTCAAGGGCAAGAGGTAAAGTGGGAGAAAGAGATCAGAAAGACCAAAGGAAGCCATACTTGGGGATTGGGGTTTAACTCTTCAGGCAGTGGCTCATCAGTGAAGTTTTTAATCAGAAAGGCATAGATTTGAATTTTTCAAAGATAACTGAGTACTTACATGGGAACCAGGCCAGTCAAGGATCATAGGTATTGATGAAAGGATGTTGTGGAAGCCAGTGAGAAATGAGCATCTGAACTATGGCAATGAGAAGGACCCAGAGGAAATGATGTATTTTGGAGGTAGACCTGCTATGGAGTGTGAGAGACAAACATTAGGGTGAGGCGTAGCCCTCTGTCCACTTTCCGTAGATGGACTGTGATGCAGTCCGTTAATAGGAGAATTTAAGGACAAGTTTAAGAGAAGAGCCCTTGTGCTTGTTCATGGGAACCGTTGAAATTCTGAAGCTCAGGGAGGAGAGTGGAATCTGTAGAGGGTGGATTTCATAAGGATGCAGTTTGGAAGACTGAGTTGGTGCACAGATTGTCTTGTTAAGACACTCGAGGTGTGTGTCTGAGGGGCTGTGTGGAATGGGCAGGGATGGCTGGGTACAGGGGTTGGGCATGTGGTGGATGAGGAAGGAGGTCAGATACCATGTGTCAGGTATCTAGGTCACTAGATGTGTCAGGTATCTAGGTCACCAGGTCACTAGGAAGCAGAAGGCTGTGCAAACCCTCGGGCTTGGTTTTAAGAATAAGGATATGACCTGCTCCAAGTAAGGTACTGGAGAGAAGTTGGAACACAGGGAGGATGGGGTCTGATTGCCAAGGGAAACCAGAGAAGACCATGAGCAGAGGGAGGAGTTTGAAGGTCTGCAGCAAGCCGCTCGCCGCATGGCCCAGAGAGTGTAGCAGGCTGTGACAGTCTTGGTGGTGTCAGTCTGGACATGTGTCACAGCAGAACAGACTATGCAGTTGCTTATGGTCCTTATATCACAGAGAAGAGAAGTAAGTGTATCCCAGCCTTTTCTAAAAAAGAAACATAAATTATACTTGTTGACCACCTGCCATTATAGCTAAATAAGGTACTTTTACTTTTCTATAAAAACAAGAGTTTTTAGGAAAAATGGTGGGATAATTTCTAAAGTTAAAAACATTTGAGATGCAGTAAAGAATTCCCTGGCTACTCATGATTCCTATTCCTAAAGTCTCTAAGAATTCAGTCATATATCAAATATTAAGTTTGTCAAAATATATTGGAGATTGAATAAAGGACATTTCATTTAACCTATTAAGATTTGGTGTTTTTAATTTTTTTTCGGATAAAACAAATTATTCAGTTCTTCCCTAGCTCTCCATCACCTTAGATCAAATCACTTTGTTGTTGGTCTCATTTTCCTAAAATCAGACATAGGACCTGAGCATGCTCTCAGGTTTTGCTGGGCTGTCACCTAACAAGTGCAGTAGTCCCGGACACAGTGCCTGCTGGCCACCAGGGGGCACTTGGGAGCCTACCTTCTGCAGCAGGGATTGCCACAGGGAATAAAACACCCATCTTTTTATTGTCATTTATACTTTCATCATTTCACTTTTTATTTTTCTCATTGTTTCATTTTTAATTTTGTCTATTTTTCCTTGTCATTTATTGTTTATATAAGCTCAGTGTATGAATTATAAAAATTATAATTAATTTCCTTAACTATATAGTAAATTGTATGTTACTTAATGGCATCATTTCCAATGATTATTATCATTTTTATGATGGTCTTCATAATTCAGTTATTCAACATTATTAACATTCTCTTCAGCTTTTGTTCTTGTACTAGCCCATGTTTGCAGTGTGTAGTGATCACATTCCTTGTGGGACGTTGGCATGTGTAAATAACACATCTTAATTCATTTTAACCCTCTTCCCCTTTCTCCCCCAGCAAGATTATTAGCACCCGTTTCAGAATAGGCATTTACTTTGTTTCTGATAATACCAGTAAATAAGCAAATCACTGAAACAAATGAATCCAACATACAGAAATACTGGGCACCTCCTCTCTGGGGGTGAAAGTTCTCTCTCATTAATCCCTCTCAGGCCTGTTGCCTTCATGCCTCTCCTGCTGCCTCCGTGCAGGCTTCTGTGGCCCAGGTGAGCATGAGATGGGAGGTGACCCCACCTCTCCCACTCTGCTCTCTGCGTGTCATCTCTGTGTGACAGACCAGTCATTCTTCAGCCCTGTGGGTCATGGTGGTCTTCTATGTTCTTATTCTTCTAAATAAACAGAACTAGTTGATTGCCATGAAAATGCACTAAATATCAGAAGGAACACAAGCATATATTCTACTGTTTGGTCCCAAGGTCACTTGATGTTCAGATACTGTAAAAAAAAAAAAAAAATTAGAGCTTTTTTTTTTTTGGCATCATTAAGTACTAGACAAAGCCACCAAGCTAAAACCTTCCTGTTTTGTTTATAGGAACAATATGCCAGAATTCCACAAGTTAAGAACAAAATTGGTAAAGAAGAAGGGAACGCGGGCATACGCCTGCCAGTGTAGCTGGAGAAGCATTGAAGAACTGACTGACCTGCAGGCAGAGCATCAGCTGCGTTGGGTGTGTGGTAAACATTAGGAAGCAGACTTTTTACTTGGACAGAACCATCACGAACCCAGTCTCCAGTCATCGGCCCAGTGATATAAAAGTACATTGTAATATGTACTGTGAAAGAAGACAGTGATTTTCATGTAACCGCAAAGTTCTGAAGACCAGATGAACCAAAGAAGACAGTGTACTCTTATGTTTTGGAATCATTCCTTATGATATGTGGATGTTTCACGTGGTAAGGTAACAAACATCTAGATTCTTTGCTAGCCTATCTATCTCCTGTTAAGAGGAAGTTTAATTATGGAGTCTGTCATTAGCATTTGCAGCCTAGCTCACCGTGTAGTGTGAACTTGCTCATGGAGGCAGGCAGGGTAAGAAAGGAAGCTGGCCAGAGCAGGGAGGCCATCGCAGGAGAGTTGCGCCTCCTCCTCCAGTCAGGTCTGTGGTTCCCAGGGGCCTACACTCAGACAGGGCAAGAGCCAGGTGATCATGGCTGGCTTAAAGCCTGTCAGGAGCGCAGTGTGTTCCGGAGCACTGCCTTATACCTCATCTCACCTCACAACCTAAAGCAGTGTGATGCACAGTAATAAGTACGGATTACCAGTTTTCTCTTATTTGACCTTTCAGTGATCTAGATATCAAAAGCTATTTAATTTAAAAAAAAAAAAACCTTTAGGGTGAGGCGTAGCCCTCTGTCCACTTTCCGTA